GTTTCCTCTTTGGGCGAGGTGCTAGTCGGTTGCCCAAACCGAAGTAGGGCGTTGACTTAGGGGACACCACCCAGAGTCTTTGGCTGAATAGCCTGCCTGCAAGGCAGCGGAGGGAATTCAGGGAATCGCGCCCATTGGGAGCCGGTGACAGATTTATCAGTTCCTACACCTTTTATTTGTTCTTTTGTCAAACAGGAGCCCAATGATCCCCTTATTCATAATCTAATTACAGATATTATGCCATCAGAACCATGGCGAAATAAGGGGGGAAACAATGTACAACATGAAGAAAACGACTTTTTCGGTTTTACACACGGTGCTTGGGGATATTTTATGTCTTGGATTTTTATGTTCCGTGTGCTATTAACTAATGGATAACTCGGCTGAACAACACTGTCTCCCCTGATGCCGGTTGCGCGCCATTGCCTCCAACTTTTCTAACCACTGGTAGTGCCAATCGCATGGTCGCTATCCAGGAAGGCGGCTCGGTCCGACGGATGCTAAGGTTGAGGTTGCAATCCTCATGCTACTTCTCTACGTCAGTTGATGTCCACCGCGTTGCTTTTCCAATGGCTTTCGGGGAGCGTAAATAACGCCCCGTGGGGAACGCGGTAGGTCGGCATGCGCAATACCTGGCCGAGCCAACGCATGCGGTGTTGGAGAATAACATTCTGAAGGCTGACACTGACGCGACCGACACGCGCGTTGAAGTCTCCTGTCAAAACAATGATGTCTGTTTTAGGAGCCCTTAGGAGCAGCTCAGGAAGGTCCTGGTAGAACTGGTCTTTGACTGTGTCCGAGCTACAGTCAGTGGGCGCGTAGTTAGAGATGACCAAGACAGCACGTTTTTGGACTCGACGTCTTCTAACTTTACAAGAACCATGGAGCTTCATCGCACAAAGGCGACTATTGATCGAAATCCAATCAATCAGAGCAGTCTCGGCTCTAGCTCTGAGGGTGATTCCAACACCAGCTTGCCCAGATGCGGCAGACACGGCGTCACCAGATAGGTGGAGATGGAAGCGGGTGCGTGGGTAGAGCGGTGACAGCAGCTGGTAGACCGAGTTAGAGTCCTGGAGTCGCGTTTCACTCAGGCAGCAAATATCAATTCCAAGGGTCTCTAGCGTGCGTACAAGTCCAGCTTACTGACCGATCTGCAGTAACGTGCTTACGTTGAAGGCTGCAAGTTTGAACTGCGTTCGCGGTTGCAGGAGCGAATATGGGAGACTTCGGAACTGGCACCTCTCTGTTGAGCACTGTGGTTGAGTTGGCAAATGTCACGGTAACAGGTTCATAGTCGTAGAATAATCAGGTAAAATGGGTGTGAATGGTACATTGTGAGGGTAGGCCAAATGGTGGCCTGTGTTTGTGAAGTTGGCACAGTAGCATGTGTGAATAGCATCGTAGCAGCAAGAGAGCGCGTGAATGTTTGTAGTTGCAAGTCCATGGTTCGGCAGTAGGCAAGATACTACCCGGTTGCCCTGGCCGATACAGGGATATTGTCTTAGGAGACCACCGTCCCGAGCCTTTGGCCATAGGGTATAGCCCACAGGGCAGCAGGACGAGATGATGGATTTGCACCTGTTGAGAGCCGGTGACTGGACACTCAGTTCACAAGCCTTTCAGATGACGATAAGCCATGCCAGGGGACGCAACCATCCCAAAGTCAGAGACAAGATCCGATGCTGGAATTGCTTGCCGGTGTACAATGTATCCAAAGGAGAATAGGGGCAGTGACCTTATTTAGTGGCGAATCCCAAGCGCCACATCGCAGTGTTGGTAAACGGACATTTGGGGCTTTATATAGGGATAACGTTGCCTGATGAAAAACCCCACGTCCTGGAACACAGTCGCCGAACCAATCGCCGGAAGGCGAAATTACGGAACCGCCCAGCTGGCACCACGAGGAGA